AGAGGTCATGATGTGGGGCTGGAGACCCCCCACACCCGGCCCTGCAGGCTGCGTCCGGGGCAAAGCGCAATTAAAAGGCAATTAATGCACCTAAGCAGGAAGGACCCGGCGTAGAGAACCTGCTCTGGCAGGAGGGCCGGACTCCACGACCTCTGCAGGCCTTTCTGACCCCTGTGAGTCCGTGATCCTGCAAAGTGATGGAGCTCAGCCCAGCTGCAGCCACGGGGAGGAGGAGGAGGCGGCTGGGGGCAGCGCCGTGAGCAGCTCAGGGCCGGGGGTCCCTGCGCTCTGTGCTGGGGGCTCACAAACCCTCCCTGCTCTCCTCCAGAACAAAAGCAAGGCAGCAGAGCCCCGGAGCGCGGAGCAGCGAACGCCTCCATCAGCGCCGTGCTGCTCATTGTCTGCCTGGTGCGACCTGCTGCACGGAACCCTGCGCAAAGCCACGGCTGTTCGCTCGGGGTTGTTTTTTTGGGTGGCTGCTGCTGTTGTTGTTGCTCTGTTACAATTGCAGACAATCTTCCCGGTTGCTGCCAACTCTTTTTGCTTTCTGAATACGGATCTGCAGAAAGAAAAAGCAAAAAAAACAACAAAAAAGAAGGGAAGCAAAGCAGAAAGGAACGGCAGCGCGGGGAGCAGAGCATCACAGGGGGGGGCAGAGAGCAGAGCCCCAGGGACCAGGCGTGGAGGGGGGTCGGGGTGAGAGGAGGCGCCTCAAGAGGGCAAAGCAGAACTGGGCCTTTTTTCTTCTTTTTTTTCCCCCCTCTCTTTGCTTTCTCGTTTCTGCTGAGCCAGAGAGCAACAGGGCCGTTGTTTGGGGTGTGAAAAGCTTTGAAACCGCGTTCCTGAAGAGCGCGCTGAGCCAGCCCAGCACTGCGGGCTGCTGTGGGGCTGCTGTGGGGTTGGGGGGCTGCTGTGGGGCTGAGGGGCTGCTGTGGGGGTCAGGGGTTGCTGTGGGGCTGAGGGGCTGCTGTGGGGCTGCTGTGGGGTTGGGGGGCTGCTGTGAGGTTGAGGGGCTGCTGTGGGGTTGGGGGTTGCTGTGGGGCCGGGGCAGAGCTCTGAGCAGGGTGGGAAGGGCTGAAAGCAGGGAAAGAAGTGTGGGTGGAGAGAACCCTGCGAGCTTCTGCTGAGGGCTGAGCAGCGACCCCAGGGAGGGGAAGGTGGGAGAAGCTGCGCTTCGCTCCCTCTGAAGTTTCCCCAGCCATGCCATACATTCACTCGGCTTCTCCAGGCGCGCACCCAGGGCTGAGCGCCAAAGGATCTCAGTTCCCCCCCCCGGGACGCATCGGGGAGCTGCAAATGACCCTCGTGGGCAGAGGGGTGCAGCTCCGTGGGGTCTGTGGGGAAACGGAGACGGAACGGAGCTCCCACGCTGCTGCACCCCCCGGGAACGTGGCGCAGAGGGAGCGCAGCGTCAGCCGCAATCCCTCACGGGGCAGCGCTCCTTTTGCCTCCATCCCGCGGCGCATCCACGGTGGGCTCAGCCCTCCGCTCCCCAAGCAAAGCTCTGCCCCCCCAGCGCTGCGCCCACAGAACCCTGCGGTGTCCCCGGGAGCACAGGGCAGCGCCCCGGGTTGTCACCGTGCCCAGAGCACAGCGAGCTTTGGCCGAGGAGGACGGGGAGCAGGAGGAGCTCACAGCCACCCCACTGCACAGCGCTCCACAAACACCAGCGGAGCCCAAACCCCAACCAAAGCCCACGAGGAGCCCCAGAGCTGAAGCTCGCAGCACCGGGTGCCCTCGGAGCGGGGAATTCCAGCCCCGTGCAGGTGACAAAGCCACCAACACCGCCGGGATCCATCGCTCCATCCCTCCGGGCGCACTGCTGCGCTACACCGTGTCCATGGCAACCGCATGCTCCATCCCACCCCGCCCCCCCCACCCCCCTCCTCGCAGCTCAACTCATAGCAACGGCTCCAAAGGCAGCGCCGAGAAGCCAAAAAAAAATAAGGGGGAAAAAAACGATTCCAAGGCATCGCAAAAAGCTGGTGGCGGAGCAGCTGGGTGCTGGGCGCAGGCCTGGGGCCCCGCAGCGTGGGAGGGAGCGGGTTGGGGGGCCGGGACCCCACAGCGTGCGCTGCTGGCCGCCTTACGGCCCTGCAAAGTGATGGCGAACGGGCGGCCTGCAGCACGGGGAGGCGGCTGGGAGAGGCGGCTGGCAGGGCGCTGCTGGCTGGGCTCAGCACTGCTGTCCACGCAGCCCTGCTCCCAGCAGATCCCGGCTCCCGGCACGAGCCGCTCTCCCACCCGATCCGAGATGAGCGTGGAAAAAAAATGCCGATGTTTTACTCACCCATCAAAAGCAAATTACTCACGCCAGGCGCGTGGGTGAGCAGCATTCTGCAAGGCTGTTTTAGGCCCTGACTATGCTACAGAAATATCCATTTTAAGCATGGTTGTGAAACGCGGTTGTGGGCTCAGCTCTAACGCTGCTTTTTTGCTACCTGCACAAAGGAGATGGAAAAAATAATAATTAAGAAATCCCCACCGCCGCGCTTCTGCCCAGCGCCGGCATCCATCGGCTTCGTCCCATCGGAGCTGCGAAGGCTGGAAAAGATCACCGAGGTCATCAGGTCCAACCATCGACCACCATCACCACGGAGACCTGGAATCCCAGCCAGCCTCCGGGGAGCTGGGCAGGAGGGGAGCGTTGGGTGCAGCGGGGATGGAGCGCGGGCCGTTGACTGCTGGCTGCGGAGGGAGCGCGAGGCACCCAGCAAGGCCAGGGAACACAGGGAGCACAGGGAGCACGAGCCCTGACTGTGGAAGGACAGCGAGCTGCTGAGCAGGGCCCTGCGGCCATGGAGGGACCGTGAGCCATTGACCAGAGCCCACGGGAGAACCACGAGCCACTGAGCAAGGTCCACTGGTTGTGGAAGGACCACGAGCCGCTGATCGTATGGGAACCACGAGTCAGGGACCATGGAGCGACCCTGAACCACCGACCGAGGCCCATTGGCCACGAAGGGACCCCAAGCCATTGACCAAAGCCCACTGACCACAGAAGGACCACGAGCTGCTGATCGTACGGGAACCACGAGTCGGTGACCACAAGCCATTGAGCACTGAGCACAGCAGGCCCGAGGTCTGGGCTCCCAACAGCCACATCCATCGAGGCCACGGCGCAGCCCAGCACAGCTCTCAGCTGCTCTCATGCTGCCACCCCAGCACACCTCGCCGCTCCCGACCCCAGCGCTTCCCTGCCACGACCCCCCAACCCAACCCGCCGCCCTCCCCAGGGCAGGCGGGCCCCCGCCCCCCCGCTGCCCGGGGCGGCGCAGGGGGGGGGAGAACACGGCTGCGTCTCTCCGGCTCCCGGCTGACAGAGGTGTGAGAACAAAGCCCTGCTCAGCACGCAGCTCCGCCGCCTTCCCCCCCAGGGCCCCCCACCCTCAGTGCTCTCGGACCCCCGCCTGCAGCTCAGCACCCAGCAGCCAGGTCAGGGTTCTGCCAGCAGCCCAGCAGTGCGACGCAGCGATCAGAGCCGTGCTTCGTGCTGCCTCACCACCAACATTTGCTTCGCGTGTTTTCTCTCCCAGTAAACAGCAGCTGTTGCAGCGGTGCCGCCGCGCTCGCATCCCGAGCTGTCACACTGCTCAGAGCCCCTTCCCTACAGTCGGGAGCCAAAAGAGGAGGAATTCGGGAGTCTGTTGATGAGCTGCAAA